GCCACCGTGACCCCCCCTTCCTCCCCACCAGAGCCCCAATTTTTGGGGGTCAAGGTCCCCCACCCGGGGTGGCCGGCGCCGGACGTCCCGGCATGAGTCAGCAGCGTCGGCGTCACATGAGGAGGACGGTGGAGCCGGGAGGAAGGGCACGCGGAGGCGGGCGCTGCCAAGCCTTTAAAAAGTCCTCGCGGGGACGGGCTGCACCTCCACGCCATCCCCACCATGGCCCCCACGGCCCCCACGCTGCCGCTGGCCCTGCTGCTGGCCCTGCTGGCCCCACGCCTCGGGCTGGCTTCCCCCGGCTGTGACTACCCGGCCCACCTCTGGTGCAGCTCGCGGGAGATCGCCGTCGCTTGCCAGGTCAGAGCCGCCGGTAGCCACCCGCCCCGCCACGGTAGCCCACGCGGGGACACGGCCCGCCGAAAGGGCTGGGTGCCCACCCGGTGAGCGGGGCTTTGGGGGTGGCGGGGACGGCGTCGGGGCATCGCCCGCCCGCGGTACCCGGTTGCCAGCTCCGAGCATCCCCGCGGCACAGGCTGGCACACGGGATGCTCGGAGCCCCTGTGCCACACTGGAACCCCCCAGAATCCCCAGGGAAACGCCACGCTCCAGCCGGACCCCAACCCTTCCCCGGGCGGCGTTGCCACTTCTGCTTTTTTACCATAAAACAGCTTTTTTCAGCTTATTCCACCCGGACGGCGACACCGCTGTGATGGCAGGTCCGGTGGCACCCTGCGGGGCTGCGGCCACCACCCGGCGGTGGGCACTGGGCTGTGTGTCCCCACCACCACCCCCCCCAGGCACATCCCAGCCCTGCCGGATATGTTTTTCCCCCCCAAAATATTTTGGGGAAGTTCCTGTGGAAAGCCCCGGCGCTGCCTTCGAGGGGATCCTGCGGCTGCAAGAGGCCCCCGCTCGCTCTCACTTCCCTCCCTGCCCTTCTTACCCTCACTCCCAGAGCTTTGCCCCATTTCTTGCGAATATGGGGAGGTGGGAGGGGGGTGTGCAGCCGTACCCCCCCCCCCCTCCCGTACCCCAAAACCTTCCCTCACACAGGCGGAGAGCCGTTGTGCCAACCTCTCTCGCCCGGCGCCCGCCCCGGTGGAGGTGACCCTGTTCTACGAGAGCCTGTGCATGGCCTGTCGCTCCTTCTTGGTCCGGCAGCTCTTCACCGCCTGGGTGCTGCTGCCCAGCGAGGTCCTCAACATCACCCTGGTGCCCTACGGCAACGCCCAGGTAGGAGCCGGCAGGAACCGGTGTCACCGTCACCGTCGGCATCCCCCTGGTGTCACCACCGTCCCCGCTCAGACCGGTTGGTCCCGCAGGAGAAGAACGTCAGCGGGAAGTGGGAATTCCAGTGCCAGCACGGCCCGGAGGAGTGTTTGGGCAACATGATCGAGGTGACGGCCACGGTGACAGTCCCCATCCCCACCGTGCTGGCACCAGAAAGGGGTCCGGTGCCCCCCTCACCCCCCACCCTGTCCCCGTAGACCTGCCTGATGCACGAAGCTGAGAACTTCACCACCTACTTCCCCGTCATCTTCTGCCTGGAGTCGGGCAGCTCCGTCACCAAGAACCTGGAGGCCGTATGTCCCCTTCCCCGTCCCCCCGTGACACCGTGGGGGTGTCCCGGTCCCCCTGACGTCCCCATATGTGTGTGTCCCCCCCCTCCCTCTCGCTGTCCCCCCACAGTGCCTGCAGATCTACGCCCCAGAGCTGGACCGGGGGCGCATCGCCGCCTGCGTGCAGGGGGACACGGGGATGGAGCTGATGCACCGCAACGCACAGCTCACGCAGGCACTGGACCCCCCGCCCGAATACGTGCCCTGGGTCCTCATCAACGGGGTATGGAAGAACCTGGGGGGGGGACACACACACAACTAGGGGGGCTACGACACCCCCCTGACCGCCCCCCGTCTTCCCCCACCCACAGAAGCACACGGACGAGCTGCAGGAACAGGCCTCGACCTCGCTGGTGGGGCTGATCTGCCGCCTCTACCAGGTGGGAGGGGGGGCCTGGGGGCTGGGGG